GGGGGGGGGGGGGGGGGGGGGGGGTGGGGGAGGGAAGACGCTGTAGACTTGCCGTAAACAAAGATAAGTGAATTTTATTTAAAATGACGCGTACATTGTCAATAGCTTTTCTCGCTTTTTGATTGGCTGCTTAAAAAAATCCATAAAATCTCATTGATTAAAAAGTTGACAGTTTGACTGCTCAAAGTTTAAAATTTTATCCGTCTGTACTCTTATTGATGATACAAATGAGCCAATCAGCGCGCGAGAAATTAGACAGTTATTGTAAAAATATTTTTTGAACCAAAGTTCTCGGAAGCTTTTAAACTTGGAAACCAAGCAGTAGCGTTCGATGTTTTGAATTTTACAAATAGAATTGAGATAGTTTAAGCCCGAGAAATTATTCTTGTAAGGGGCGTTATTTCAGCTCCTTAATCTCATCTTTATAGCTAAGAAGATGAGTCTTGTAGCTTGATAAACCATGAAAAGTAACAAATTTAAACAGACCTGGAGTTATTGTTTGTGGAAAGAGTCCTTGTGGAAGTGCTTGGTCCAGGTAGTTGGAAACCAGTTACAGAGCCTCCACTGAGGAATGAGCTGGTCGATGCTGATCCCTGTACTCCAACTGTGCCTGAAGTGGATGTGTCCAGCTCAAAGCCTGTGCGCCGAAAAGTAGAACAAAGTTTAACAATATGAAGTGGAGTTCAGGGGCAAGACCACTGGATGAGTAAGCCGATTGTCGTCCAAAAAACTTTTTCCTTTAAAATTTTCTCAATAGCAAAGTCCGACCATTAAATCTTTGTGAGTCTAGAGTGACGTGGTAAACAGCTTTTAAATTAACTTATCTTAAAACCAGAAGTAATTCCACAGTACGTCGTAACATTTGGAAAATTTAAAACCAAACATACTTTCAAAAATGGTTTCCGAAAAGTCTACGTTCCCTCTGAAAGTTTGCTCGCAAACAAAACCATTGGTTTGTTCACAAGGGAGTAGGAAATTCCATAGGCTAAAAATCTGAAATTTAAGACCGGTAAAACAATTGTCTCTGGAATACAAGACATTTCGAGAAAATATAAAACTGCAGTCGATAAAGCAAAGTACCACAAGAGTTGTTGACAAAATAACTTGAAAGTTTCTTACACAAACAACATGAACTTGGGAAATTCAAAAGGTTTAACCTTCTTTACAGCTTCTCAAAATAAAAAGATCGTTAGCATAACAAAGCTAAGGGCCTGATTACATGGCGAATTTCAGCCCGGGCTGAAATTTCAGCACGGCTAGGGGGGCTGAAATTTTGTTGCAATTACATAAAGAATTTCAGCCCGGGCTGAAATTTCGTTTTGATTACATGGGATTTTTTCAGACTTTTCAGCCCGTTTGCCCGGGCTGAATCCTTCTTCATGTAATCGCCAATTTGATTTCATGAGAATTTGTTTCAGAAACCGGGCTGAAATTCGCCATGTAATCAGGCCTAAATTCCACTTCAACGAAATTTAACCGTGGTAAGTAAACTCAACACTTACTGTATTTTGCTTGTCTCATAGCTGACATCTCTTTTCGAACCTGAAACCGAAAAACCCCACAAGCAAACCGAAATGGAGCGTTGACTTTTAGAAGTTTGATCACTCTTTTCCTTCGGAGATAAGCCTCTCGTGAAGTCAGTGTTGCGTTTCTGTTATGCAGTTTTTAAATCCGTAATCATCTTCTTTATTCGCCGCAACACACTCAAGTCGAACGCCGTGTTTCTTTTTCACGAACTGAGCGTTGTTATCGTCCGGAATTGGCGGGAAAACTGACGCGGCTGCTACGACACATACGCTCGCTTATTGCAAAATGGCGGGAAACTTGTTTTGGTCTTCTCAGGGCGCAAAAAAAGAAAAAAGAAAAAAAAATTAGGTGAAATATTTTCAAAAATATCTTTTCCTAAAATGCGCTTATAGACCGTGTTTCGGTCGACCCTCAGAAACTATGACCACCCCGGATAATTGCTTTGATCACTAAATTATTGAACTCAAATCAAGGTCATAGATGATTTCAGGGTCCGATAGAGACAGTAAGGAAGTAAAGGATGAGAAATTCTTTCAACCAATATGTTCCACTTCCCTCAGGCTCATTTTGGGCACATTTGAAAAACTGTGTGGCATTCGATTCTGTCAGAGGTTATTCTGTGGATTTTTCCACGGACTGATCAGTATTTAGGACGAAGAAGGTTGGGAGGGGTGGAAGGGGGGAGGGGGGGGGGGGGGGGGGGGGGGGGGGGGAGGATGGAAAAGGAAGCAATCACTTGACTGACCAGCAGGGTTTCAGTCAAGGGCCAGTGATCGACCTGTCAGGGGTAGTGGAGCTATGATTGAGGCTAGGGCAGATCGAGCTGAGATAAAACCAACGTGAGACTAACGTTATGTGAAATGCACTCTTTGTTACAAACAGACTACAAACAATATCACATAGATATAGTTAAGATAATAATACTAGTGTTTTGTGATTTCCACAGAGCAAACAGCCAACGTTGTGACGCTTAGAACCTCTAAACTAAAACAGCCAAGTGCTTTTACAATTCATCTGGCCGTCGCGTTCTTCGTTAATAAAATTCAGTTAAGACGTAGACACATGAAAGGACATGTTCCAGCGACATGTAGCAAGGTCAAAATCACCACTTCTACACACATTCCAGCGACATGTACGTGCGTCAGCACACATGAGGGGATTTGTCGCTGCAACAGGTCCCTGCTATTTTTCTTGTGCGCGCTCATGTTGTTTTTTCCCCTTAAAACATAGTTTCGTGTTTATGCACCTTCACACTTGAAAGCTCCATTTACTTCACTGAAAGACTATTCAGAGTTACAAGTAACAGGCTAAAATGGTTCTCAGTTTGATTGCAAACGTTCGCAAGGGCCGCGCAAGTTATGGAGAGATCTAAAAACAACACAGAACACGCAATGTACTCTGGGATGGGAAATTCATCAATCATTCCCGGCCTCAGTCTCCATGGCTTCAGACGAGGGCTCGGGTGATTCGTCTTCGTGGAACATGAATTCTGTTTGGTATTCTTTAAGAAACTGGCTGGAGCGAGCTTCGTCCAGGAATAGTGAATACACTCGCTTGATGTCATTAACATCCACTTCAGTTCCCTAAGGAAAATAAAAACACGTTGGTCAATTGTCTAAATTTTCGGAGGCGAACCACTCACCCCCACCCCCTCCCGGGATAGATCAGTCTTTCTTAGTAAAGGAGCTGGTGAGCACACGCTACAACCTCATCAAAGTAAATTGGAACATAAAATATTCCAGTAAAACAAAATAAAACAAACATTATAGCATGCGCAAGTTTTTCATATTGACTTTTAATACTCTCCCTTGATCGCCGTATTAGGTTGAATTTTTGTAACATGTAATATCCATTCAAATCAACAAACTTAACACAGAGACACCGTATATCTTGTTCAAATCGTTTCATCTTAACTCGCTTTTTCAGCTTAACTTGGCAAATAACCGAGCATAATTCACACTGTACCTTTCTCTTCCGGCACACGAGACTAGAGGCTGTAATAAGCTGAATGGAGTATCTTAGAGATGTTTCCTGAGCAATTTTGGTCAGTAAGAATATAGCATCCTCTGACATCTCCACATCCTCCTCTTCGCATCTGCAACGCAATAAAGTTTTCGGGATCATAAATTTGTGAGTTACAAAAATCAATATAACAATAACATTCTGGAGTCGTAGCCAGGTGACTGACCTTCAACACTTTTTTCATAGTTACAAAAATAATCTTCTAACATTCACGAGGCGTTACTCGTGACTTACTGACTATAACATAGCAACACTCTTTTTCTCGCGAGGCAACAAATATTCAAATCGACCTCAATGAACAGTAAAGCTGCAGACGGGTTATAATTTTAACGGAAGGCATTTGACATATCATGTTGGAATAGAGAGGAACTGCAGTTTAAATTGAAAATGATATTAATAAATGGGAAAAGCAGAATGGGTTTTAAATTTTCCTTTGCATTTAAAGAAGCTACGTCAAGGTTTGCGTACCTTGAAAAGCTTAGCCTAATTTTTTCAAGTTTGTCCATTGTAATCCGTGTTAATCTTCTCCATCCTTAACCATCCTTGTTTCTTTAAGGTATATTATTATCTCTTTGATGTTTTTCCATCTTAGTTAACTACTATTTCCAGGTTTCCTTCAAAGAAAAGGTAATTTTGTACGTGGCCAAAATATCGTGACTGAGCTCCTTTAACACTTTTTCAGTTTATAAGCCTTGGCGATACTATTGTATCAATTAAAAGGCAATCTGTTTCGACAGTGGAGTCTTGCTTTAACATTAGGGAGTTTACGAAACCACGACGCCGACGCCGAGGACAATGTCGATTAAAAAATGATTTATATTTTACCAACGAATCTCGCGACACTCTTGAGTCATTTACTTTGTTTCTCACTATCAAAACTATCGCAAAACTAATTCCGGAACACAGCGATAAATTTGACATAAAAATTTAAAAAATTAGCCGTCGTGGTTCACGTTCTCCAGACAACGCAAAATTTGGTCATTTCACGTTGTTGTTTTGCAGAGGACGGCAAAGAAACGTACCAAGAATTATAACGCACGTGCACAGCTATTGTACTGCTCATTAATTCTTTTGTTCAGTGACGTTCCCGTTGCCGTTGCCGTCGTGGTTTCGTAAACTCCCTATTGTTGACCTGGAGTTTGGGTTCGTTCACACAATATTAGTATCACATATCGTGTAAACAAACAAAAACATACCTCCTCCTATAATGTACACAGTTATACAGTAGTTAAACAGTATACAGTTGTAGTTTCACTTTACCGTATAGAGAGAATTTGCCGCAGATCCTTTTCTTGGTAAGGCGATGTAGAGATGATCAATAGTCGGTCCAGTAGATCAAGTGGAATGCCATGAGGACTCTTATAATTTGTTCCACGAATTCTAAAAAAAACAGGTACACACAATTGTGACACATCAAACAAATCATTACAATATTTAGAGAGGCAGCCACATATGTAGGTCCCCTATGCTGCTCAAATTGGAATTTGGAGATGTTGGTTTTTGTGGAGGGAGGAAAACCGGAGAACCCGGAGAAAAACCCTCGAAGCAAGACGACAACCAACAACAAATTCAACCAACACATGGCACCGGGCAGGAATCGAGCCCGCGCCACACTGGTGGGAGGCGAACGTTCTCACCACTGCGCCTTCCCTGCTTCCCTATTCTTTTTGCCCAACTGTGGTAAAATTGACATCTAGCCACAGTTTACTGATGGTAAAAACATTCGCAGAAAAGTACTGTTATTCGTAAAGTTATTTCCGAGTCATCATTTTTTGAGCAAAACCACAAGAGCGGTTTTCAAGCGAGTGTCGTAAAATCAAAACCACAGTAATCATTCTAGCCAGTCGCAAAGGACACAGACAATGCAGTGAACCAATCAAAACTTGAAGTAACTGCATGTACATGTAGGTGACGCAAAGCGCGGGAAAATTTGTGCTAACGAGTCACAACTGGTTTTGGTTGTACTTCTCATTTGATGAAAAATTGTCACAAGTTTTCTTGAAGCCAATTGTGCAACGTAGTAAGTAAGAAACCAATTGCTATTCAAGACTCGAATGAAAACCGCTTAAACCACACAAAGCAGCCACATTCGTGCGCGATTATCCTCATACTCAGATCTTCTCACCAGTGGGAAACTGAGGCGATCTGGGTATAGCAACACATGCACGGTTCTCCTATACTGAACCCACCCATGCCCAGTCTCTTTGTGGTACATTTTATGTGGTATAACAACTATTGCTTACTGATGGTTAAAACAAGGCGTAGTTTCTAATTGTCTTACTTTGTGATTCCTCTATTTGTTGCCATTATGAGAACTGGAGCCATGTCGTTTTCCAGCGCACGGTTTAGAAAGGAGAAGCACTCGATATCAAGCATGTGAACTTCATCAATAAACAGAACCTACAGGGTCAAAGCATTACAACAATGTCAAATGCCAAATGCACGTACATGTACCTCTGTGACGAGTAATTAGATAGAGCTACATGCACAGATACATGTAGCTATTTAGCAACTTGGTAAATTAACCGCCGTTACAGGCAAAGCTGACGTCTTGAGCGTACAGGTTTTTACAATGTTATTCACTTGTTGATCACACACAGAGTGAGATAAAAAACAATCACATTCCTTACCCCTGGAACAATATCAGCTTTTCCTTCTTCCCTCCATTCTGCTACTTTAGCATTGATCTGTTCTCGAACTTCTCCTTTGATCTCACCAGTGTCACCTGAAGGGGATTACAAACAGTGTTAAACTGAATAAGCTGAATGACATAAGAACACAAAATATACAAGTAAATATGTGAGACTGCAGGAACTGACTCTCAAGTAGGGTTTTACTATTCCTCCAGAAAAAAAAAAAACATGCTGGTATGTCACTGGTTACTTCTATGCTTTGTTTTTTCCCTCCCCTCCTTACCTCCACCACAAGTAAAAATAAGACCACACAAAACAAATACATGTAATAATGATTAAAAAAAACCTTTTACTGATGCAGACATACATGTAAGTGGAAATGAAAACAGCAACGACATTACCCATACAAAACACAATTTACTGTCCCTACCTGAGAACAGAGCCAGGAATCCCTGTGTTCTGCTATTGATGACATCAATTTCATGGAGAGTGACAGTATGAACAACTTCTTTTCTCTTTTGTATCTCACCCTCAGGACACTGGACAAACTTGGTCTGAAACAGAAATAGTTAGCATCATGTTCCTAACAACACATATTGCGTAGTTCAGTCAAACCTTTAATAGCTAAAATATAGGTACTTCTGGATCTGTTTTAAGAAGGCATCCATTTTTTAGAGGCACATGTCAATAAAACCATTCACATTTTGGTGACTACTAGTTTCTGCTTATGGGAGGCTTGTTATGGATTGGACTGTAAATAAACAACAGACTCAAGAAAGGTCGCAAGTCGCAAGGGATTGCCACAAAGTTCTGAGGAAGGCCACTTTAATCTGCTAATACAGACAGCTTTCTGGCTTCTGTCTCTCACTATCAGTGAAAAAAAAAAAGGCTGGAAATCCATGTGTGTTCACAGGTTACTTTATTGTGTTGGATAGGTGGCCGATTTTGCCACCATGTTCTTAAGATAAGAGTAATACAGATGTAGCTAGCAGAGAAGCCAGGTGAGATCATACAAACAATGGTGATTTTTATTGAGTCACCTTTTTTGACAATGCCGTACCTATGTCCATTAGTTTAGTAAGAGCTAACACACAGCCTCTACTTAAAGGAGTGACTGCAAACCCAAGATTTCGTAAAAGATGCTCTTCTTGCCCAATTTTGTTAAATGTAATTTGGGTTTTGTCTCCATACTACAAAACAACCCTGTGCCCATGGCCATTAATTTTGTACAAACTGTAGGAGCTGTCACACTGGTTCTGCTCTAAGGATATACATCATACTGAGGTTTCTTAAAGGAAGCTCTTCTTGTACAATTTGACAGCTGTATTGTGTTTTGCCTCCACTCCCTAATGTGGAAATCTAGAAGTACATGTTGAACATATCTAATGAAGAAAGCTCAGCACCTGTGGCCCCATGGCATCATAATCTCTAGCTCTGTTAAATGAACGACCAAGTTTGGAGACTTTCCCTGTTGCTTTGTCTATGGTTATGATGTCCCTAGAAACACAGGAAACTATCAATGTTAAAGTACTTATTAATTTCTTCTCTTTCTTTGCCACTATCAACAGTAACTGGTAATGACTCAGCTTTACTGTCAAATTCATTAGATTTTGATTTTAACAAAGAACATGTCACTCTTGAGTTTGACAAACATGTTTCGGCAGATATGTCTGCCATCTTCAGTGCAAAACGAACTTGGTTTCAGAATTTTTCTTCACTATTCTCCTGAACACTAAGTTCGATTCACAATGAAGATGGCAAATGGATCTGCTGAAACATGTTTGTCAAACTCAAAAGTGTTGTGTTCTTTGCTAAATTCATATTGTCACTGCTATTATCTGAGAACACTTACCTAGTAGATATATTTTTGATCAGCAACTGCTATTAACATTACTACAACTTTGGTAAAGTTAAAGTCTGCATACAAGTGAAGTGGCCCATCAGGCCGGAGCTTATCCTGGTTTCTGTAGCATGAAGCAACTAGGAGTATTTCTACTCCCCCCTGGATGGGACGCTGGTCAATTGCAGGGTTACCCCAGCATTAAATTTGCCAGTACCCATTTATACACCTGGGTAGAGAGAGGCACCGTAAGAGTAAAGTGTCTTGCCCAAGAACACAACACAATGTCCCTGGCCAGGGCTCACACCATGAGGCCACCACGCCTCCACTAACTACAACTTAACTGCAATAAAACTGACTCTTACCCTGCCTGGACTTTTTCTTTTGTAAGTGATTCTATCATTTTTGTCCCCAGGTCGTAAACTGTTTCCATCTCTGTTGTTTTCAATGTAAGTTTGCCAACCTTGGCTCCCTAAATGGGAAAAAATGTAAGCATTTAATTTGGTAGTTTGAACTGTCACAGTGGACGAAAACACAGATTAATTGTTTGAAATTCACATGTACACTGCTCTGTAATGGATGCTGGACATCTCAAATATTCAGAAAAATATGAATCTTTATACATGTACATTGTACATGTATCTAATCATACATGTACATGTTTCTTTTCAGGAAGCTTTGGCAATGCATCAGGCAAATTTGGTGAAACTATGGTTTGTATTTTGACAAGACACAGTCACGCCAAGATACCATGGTGAACAAAAAATAACAAGATGCCACTGAAGCATACAAAAAAGGTACTAGTTGTAATATAGCGAATTTGGGAACAGTTAGTGATTCTTAATAAAGACTAAATGTTTTTGTATTATTTGTTAATAAAACCCACCGTTCCACTTGCAGGTCGGTCAATTTGTATTTCAACCACCTCACCTTCTATGATCTCAGTTTCCTCTCTAAAAATAAAGGATTTAAAGATAAGAATTTAAAAAACCAATCTGCCAAAAATTGATACATGTACAGTCATGTATTCACTTTCAATGTGCAACACCAGATGAAAAACTGGGATACCACAGCCCTGTCAAAATGCCCTGGCAATCAGAAATTTTGTGAATACATCATGATATAGATCTTATATTGCTCTTGTGAACAATAAATCAGTTTGATACATTTTTCTCAATGATCTGTAAGAAATGAAAGGCTCACATAATGCAGTGATTTTTGGCTAAAACAGAACATTGCCAAAACAACTCCAAATTTTGCATGCGGGTTTGTTTACCAGTGTTAAACATTGTCCAGTGTTCCGTAATTTTTTTTGCTGGCTTTTGCTCCATTTTGAGAAATGACATATGCAAAAAACTCAGAATTTTGTAGTGGCTTTCTTTGCAATGCTTGTCTTGGAGCCAAAACAATGTTTTACATAGCAATGTTGAGTTTTAGCCAAAAATCGCTATCGCCCTTTTTCCACTGAGCCTATCAAATATTAGTTTCATAGGGGTTTCAGTAATTTTTGGCTCAAGAGGGTAGGTTGGAAAAGCAGGTTCAAGGGGCATGATCCCCCCGAAAAGTTTGAAATTCTAGACTCTCGCAGATGCATTTTCCTGTGTTTTGAGGCCTATTTTTTATGTTGCTCTGTTGTTCCTACAAGTCAATCAATTAGAAAGACAAGGCTTATAACATGTGGTATTTTAATTCTTCGTATTCAAATCAATGCATGAACAATACATGATAGACGTATTCCACCACAAAAAGAAGCATAATATTAGAGTTTAAACACCGAAATGTGTACCTTTCAATATACTCAACAAACCTTGCAAAGAATCATTCTTCTTTGACCTCTTTTGTTTTGATGCTGGAGCGAAATACATGTATGCTAACAATGATTGCATTTTGGCAGCCATTATTATTCATGCTTAGTCCCAGTTTCCTCTTGATTTCAGCTGAAGTGCCTGGCACATTTTTTCACTTTGTATTGAAGCGATTTTACTCGCGCATTTTGTTACACTTTCCTTCATCTTTTGTGGTCCAAAAGGCTGGGTTAACACTAGCAAGTTTTTTCGTGTACCTTTCTTTTTCTTTACCTATAACATAAGACTTACTTTGCCAAATTTCTTGAAGAGAATCCTTAGCTGTGAGGAAATTATCTGGTCTTAGTTATTTGTGTCTGCTCATTACAAGCGGGTAGATCTACTTGCTGCCCAGCTATTTCTGAAATCCCTGAGTATTGGCACATCTAAGATTTTTTAAGCTGAGGGTTGAACATTAACCTTTATAACTATTAGTAACCCCCAGAATTTGTATCTTACAGTACTGACTTCGCTAATTTGGATTTCTTAAAGTGATGGACAGAATCCACTGGCCTGACTGCAAAAGGGCTATCAGACATGACTTCTCTTGCATGCTGATATAATTATAAACAGTAGCCTCCATTTGGCACAAAAATATGCTGGGATAGTTGTCTGTGGACATTATCTGTTCTGAGAAGTGAACAGTTTTCCGAGAGCTTACATGTAGCTTGAGGAAAACTGTGAGCTTTGAGGAACAGATAATGTCCAAGGACAAATATTCGAGCATATTTTTTGTGGAAAATGGAGGCTATTGTGTTTATTATCCTTCAAATATTTTTCGCAACACCCTCACTTTTGAAAATTAGGGAATATTCTCGGATATTCCCCAGTTTCAGCTGGGGAATATTTGGTCACGTGATGCATTTAGTCCAATTGCATGTGAGCGAAAATATTTGATGGATTATGAACTGTAATATACCACATGTACACGTACCACTGTCTTGGATACAATAATATCTATTTTAAGAACACTCCATAACAACATTAAATGATACTACATAATTTTGACAATGTGTCACCCACTTTATGCGAACACCAATGGACCTTCTGAAAGCTTGTGTGAGAGCTTCTGTCTTTCCCATTTCCAATGAATAAATTTCACTACCAGCAATAGCCGTAAATGGAGTGTCTGGGCCAAGAGACTGAGCCATGCCTAGAGAGTAGCACACATGTTATCATTAATTGGACCACTACACATTAAGGAACACATACATGTAAATAATATTATTGTAATAAATTTTATAGTAGTCAATAAGCTCAAGTTATTTGAACTTATTGACTTCATGGGAGGATTATGAGGGAAAATGTTTGGCTCAAGGACATGGTGTATAGCTGTAGCCTGTGTATAGCCTGCAAAATGGCTGAGAACCAAATAAAAAGTTCTCCTGTCCTGCCTCATCTAACTCAATCAGTAAGCAGATTTATTATCCTATCACTGCAGATTTTGATGGAGTTATGATAACCCTTGTCCAGAATAATTATTATTGTACATGCTAAGAATGGTTAATGTGTGCAGGGCCACAGAGCTTTTGGGAACAGCTAGGTGTCCATCTACACGTAAATGTCTGGTCCAAAACATACAGGGTGTCTGAGCTTAACTTGAACTTGTCTGCATGAGTGTGTTTTAAAAACACTAGTAATTGCCAATTTTAACCCTAACTGGCAATTTTAGCCCTAGGTGTGCCTTTGCCCTTAATTCTGCTCACTAAATTATAGCACAAAAAACAGTCAATGGGATAACACACACTGCATAAAATGTACATTGTAGCAATGGCTTAGAAGATATTGTACACTGTAAATTTAAGTTTACTTTCTCAAAAAAAAGCTATACTATTATATATCACAGACAGTGTGATTTTACCCATAGCAATAGCTGTTTTTCCAGTACCAGGCTGTCCTGCAATCAACACGGCTCTACCTGCGATCTTTCCCTCCTGGATTTGAAACAAATTAACTCAGATTATCAATAATATTATTAATTGCATCACACAAACAAAGACAATTTCTACAAGACAGTGCTCAACAAATTGAAGATGAAAGGATGCATCATTCCAGAAAGATTTTAAGAGTGTGTAAACAATAATTTCCCTGTCCAACAGGAAAGTAACAGAAGGATTAGTATGCCCAGTCTAAGTCTTTGAACATAAAGTCATTACTGTTAACAAAATTATGGATACAATTTACTATTTTAGGTACAGCATTAAAAACAAAAACAGTAACTAGCATTACATGTACATGTATGTGCACATTACCTTGATCATTTCCAAAATAACACCAGCAGCTCTTCTGGCAGCAACTTGACCAACCATTCCCTGAGAAACCTACAAAGAAGGTAACAAAAGAACTCCTGATCCGTCTATGCTGTATATTATTTGTAACGTTGTCAGCCTTGTGTGGATGCAAACCCTTGCAACCTGAGACTGTGTCTGCTTGGAAGAGGTGTCTGCTGGTAGCTTAATTTACGCTTAACTATCTTTATTGCAGAAGATACATGATGCCACCATACCCAGGGCTCAAAGTTAACAAAATCTTTAAGTTGCCATTTGGTGACTAAGTGGTAAAAAATAGTCGCTAAATGTAAATTCTTAGTTGCAAAATCAAATAGAAGAGACACAATCCATAGACATACAAGAGAAACTCAATGCTCAAGAATAATCAAACATGGCGATCCAGTTGGTGATCAAAGAATCGTAGGTTTGTTTTATTATATCTATTCAAATAAATTGTGTCTTTCATCCACAAGTAATGTTCTTTTTCCTTTGAGATTACTGCTAGCCCTTTTAATTTGTGTCAGTCAAGGCAAAACCTAGTTGCAAATTTGCGACTACTCTCGTTTTTCTAGTCGCAAATAAGTAAAGTTACGTCGCAAATGTGACTGTATTGGTTGCATTTTCGAGCCCTGAAGAAGACAATGTAGTTTGCAAACTCCACGTGTCGCAATTTGGTTATCATGTAGGATTCTGAATACACCAGCACTTAATACTTGAAGTCGCAAATGAGACTGTATTGGTCACAATTTCGAGCCCTGATACCCCCTGACCAACCTGCCCTGTTCTGAGAGGCTCCTTTTACCACACTTTAGCTCGTCCACCCTGTATTGTTCTGTTTTTTCTCTAATGTTCTTCTCTGTGTTACCTTTGGCCTCCCTCTACCTTCTCAACCTTCTGGTGTCTATCTCAGAAGGTGTCCGCTTACCTTACAGGAAGTTAAATACACCATTTGCTGGGACCACAATGAAGTTTCAGCTGATCAAAGGTGTCAGTCAGTTGATGCTCAACTGTACATCATTATTTGTGCATTAAATCATGCGATACATATATGTTGTGTAATGCTGTAAGTTCCAATATTGATTATAATTACACAACACATGGTCTTTGGTAGCATATCAGGTGAGAGACTGATCAAGCCATGATTCACATTAAATTTTGGTGACACATACTTGAACTAAAATACCCACAGCAAGAGGAAAATGAGCCTGTTATGCAGTACGTAGACGAAGATCCTGCTTTGCTAACTGCAAAATTTTGGCTTCAGTAATGAGTTTTACCAGTGAATTGGCAGATGGGTGGTAAAAAAAACAAAACAAAACAAAACAAAACAAAACAATTATTGATAAGATACAGATGTGCCTGGCCTGAAAGCAGTTTCTGTATTTCCAAGTTTAATTAAGCTTCAGGTACAGACATACCTGTCTGGCTTCCAGTGCATCATCTAAACCAAGACCACGAATGTGGGAATGAGCACCTACACACCAAAAAAATCAATAACAATGTAGTTTCTTTTTATAGTAAAATGTAATCCCAGAACTTGAAAAGTAGAAAAGGAAAATGACATCCTGTGACTATACTTTTTTTGTTTCATAATAATGAAAACTGAATCTCACACATATTCTAATGACAATGATAATGAATCTTACATGTATAATTTCTATTTCTGTGGCCAAAGTGCAGCCCGCATTGATATACCAAAATTTTAAGGAATTTTTGTGAAAAAAAAATAACATGTTCATGTCAAAGAACTTTTGCACACAACGCACTGACCCTAGCTTATGGGTATACATGGTGGCTACAAATTTACCCTGCGAGTTTGAAATTCTTAATGTGCAGTACCAGAAAATATCCATACTTCCCCCACAGAAGGGATTGGAATTTCCTGGGGGGTGGGGGGATTCTCTATGACCAAAAAAATTAACGAAATGTATCAAGTTTAATTGGAATTTCCAGAGGGGTGGGTGGGGNGGGGGGGGGTCTTGGAAAAATCCCTTCCATGGGGGAGGTATGGATATTTTCTGGAACTACACAATCCTTGGAAACAGAGTAAACTATGATTGAAGTTTGAACTGAAACAAAGTTAATCCCACACAGGGTTAAAAATATTTAAATTACAAAGAAGGCGGATAATTACACTTAATTAAGTAAAAATACGTTTCAAGAAAATCAGAGGGTAAGTTAATCACCAACCTATTCTTTCAATTCTTGTGATGTCTCTTACTTCTTGAACTTTCTGTGCTGCAGCCTGCAGAGGTAGGTAAGTAAATGGACCTTTGTGGACATTTTATAGTAACAAATCCCCATAAGCTTACATTAACACGTACATGTACAGACTAAGGTGTAAACTAACTACATTTCCTGAAGCATGTTGAAAGTGCACTTTCAGTTGATCAACAACTATTTAACGCATATCAACATCTATGAACCGAGATAAAGTGAAGTTTGAAAAACACAATATCGTTCGTACAAGTGATTTGAAATCCGGAACAGAAAGATAGAGTTCGAGGTCTGAGGTAACTTTTATCAAATACTCGTGCTCCTCGACTGAAAACTTTGACGTCAAGTTTACGTATTTTCTGATTAGCAAGGTTTTGAAATTGGCACTGCAGATAGTTGAGTAAGTTTAAAAATACCATATTAATTACTAATCTCGAAGGAAAAGTTGGCTTTCTCACGTAACAAAGAGGAAATTTGTAAACTGCACATGGGAACTTACCGCCGCCATTTTGAACGCTTGTAGAGGTCTTCTAGTACCCAGTCTCCACGTAGAGATGTCCGATAAAATTCCGATACCTTTCCGATTAGTTTTCGACGTTGTTTCATATTTTTCAGCAAAATACTGGGCCTTACCAGGCCCTTTTTAATATAGCTATTCCGCATCAAGTAACACTTCAAAATGCAGTGAATCTGATTTCATAAGCTCTTAGATTTTGTATTTTACTTTTTTGCTGCTCAATCTGTTCGGAAAATCTCCGTAACCAGTCGCACAACCTCGTTACTTTCCGATCTTCTGCCGATATTGCAAAGCGGTGGAGATAGAAGCACTGGGTTGACAGTTCTGCAGTAACGTTTCTTGGATACATTTGCTTGAGAGGATGACAACTTTGAATTTTGATGAAGACGAGCTGGACCTAGGAAGCAATACAGAGGTAACATTTTCGATCATTGAGTGACGAAGGTGTTTTCCTTTGTCCAGTGTAACATTAACTTATGCGTTCACCAATATGGCTCCCATATCGTTTTCACTGTAATGCCCTTGCCAACCAACGTCTGACAAATACGGTAGCAGCGATTCGCAACCTTGTGTTTAACGCAAGTTTATTAACGCTTGAGGTGAGTATTTCTTTTTATAAATCTAGAGACATGACTGCTCGCGGACTTCAGTGATGATAGTGATGATACAGTTAAGCTAGACTTTCGTGTTTCAATAGCAGCTACATAAGCCTAAGGCAGCTAAGCGTAATTATTTTGTGAAACCGGGGGCGCAGTCGAGCTTAAAATTTTGTTCGAAATTTGTTGATCCGTGGTAATTTTCGACGTATGAAGAACTCTTGCAAAGAGCGAAACTACCAGCACTTCATACGCGACGATTGCAAGCCATTGCAGTCATAATGTATAAAGTCTGATAAAGTCAAAAATGGTCTGGCGGCTCCTTACACTGCGGAATTATTTGTTGTTACCAATTTTCAGTATCACCTTAGAAAATCTGATTTCATCGTACCCAGATTTCGGACTGTTGCTCTTGGCAAACATAGCCTGACTTATTTAGGCCCTGTCATTTGGCCCAAACTCGACAAATCTATTCGATCTTCTGAATCATTGCACACTTTTAAAAAGCGCATCAAATTGTTTGATTTCACTAGCCTGTTGGACAGTACTTGTAAAGACTGTTCTTTATGTAACAACTAACTCTTGATCTTACTGCATGACTCATTGTTTGTCTCATATGTATTTCATATTTTATTAATTATTATAACATAACTAAAGCAAAGCGCGCGCTCTGATTGGTTAATTTAGCGTCTACTATTTGCCCATGGGTGTACGCTGCTGACGTGTGTGCTAATGTTTACAAAGCAAAT